GCTCAGTTGAAAAGACAGAGGGGCTGACACAAAATGATTTCAGTCTGTTCTTTTTCTAGCTGAATAATTCAAAGGGTTTTTCAGTGATTCTTACGACAAATGGTGTCAAGATGGCTAAACGTCTTATCTGAAAACTTGGAAAAAAGAAACATCTTAAAGACAAATGCGTCAACCGAAAACTATTTCCACTTTGTCATATATCTTTCTTTCAATATATATATGTATATCTGCAACTGAGTAGTGAGTTCGATCCTCACTGGTTGCCCCAAATTTTCGGCCTTGTGCTTAGATAGACGGGCTTAGAAAATTACTATATGCCTGCTCACGATATGAATATCCTGCCATTGTTAAATGGAACACTTCTCACTTAACTCACTACTACACACATTAAACGTTGAAGACAAACTAGCCACCATATTTAAATTAAAATGTTTGTGAAAAGATTTCATCACAAACATTTTAATTTGAGTATGGCACAAGATCATTAACAACAAAAAGTAATAAACAACAATATGTCATTGTTAATGCTGGAGATTAAGTTGTAATAATACAGCAGGAGTTATTTCCCTTTAACTGTTATTTGAATTAGTTAAGATTTTAAGGATGAAATTTTTTTATCTGGACTCACAGAAAAGATTTCAGTTCATGAAATAATAGTAAGTTTCAATGGAAAGAGGGTTCTTTGATAAGAAGGTGTTATGCTGGAAAGTTCGGTGTAAGATGAGTTCAAAGAAACTTGTTGAGTAAGAGAAAATGTAATCTTTACTTGAATATTGAAAAGTTGAAGTAACTTGCAGCTTATTGTGGTTCACCGAAGAGAGTCGAATATGAGTGAAAAAATTCTGGAAAGCAGAGAATATGTTGAATCGTAACTTATAGCTCCAGAGGATTTTGAAGTAATATTTTTCGCTGGTGAATACTGACAAGAGATGGAAGTTGTAAAGTTTCTGTGTAAAGAGTGTGTAATGTCCGGGTTGTAAATGGACCAATACTATAAATGATATTTCCAACGTACAGGATTCAAATGAGCAACAATGACTCCAAATTGTTAATCAACAAATATATATTGAAATAATATACGAGAACAAACATGCAATGAAATTGTGTTCATTGTTTAGATTAAAGGAAAGAAGTTGTTCCCCTTTAACTATAGATTGATTTGTAATTAAATGTTTGAAGAAAGTTATTTTGAAAGAAAAATGTTCAGAAATCCATTAGAGCAAAGTTTACATGTTAAGAATAAATAACACAAGAATACAATTAATTAAAAATATGTTGTGTTATAGAACGGTTTAAATCAACAGAGCTCTGGTTGATTGAGTTTGACGAAAGTTACAGAGAGAAATGTAAGTTTATATTACGAAATTCTGTGTGTGCGTTTGAAATGTGATGAGTAAGATCCTGGATTTGTGTTGACAGCCGGAATCTTACTGGATCTTACTGACGACTTGTGAAAAGTCGCCCCTTTTAAGGAAAAAGGGTAGGCTCCCACGGAAACGCTGGAAAACTTAATCTTGCATTAAAAATATGTGATTGGTTAAAAATTAACCAATCACAACACTCGTACTAACAGAACAAGCAAGCAAGCTCAAAACCAAAAGATTCAAAGAAATGACTGCGATGGCTAAATTGTCCTATATAAATGTAGTAGAGTTTTATTAGCCAATCGCAGGCGAATAAAATGTGGGCGTGGAAAAACATAGCAACCGCTACAAGTGAATCAGATGAATTCAGAGATATGTAATGTTCGTCCGTACGTGTGCGTGTATGTGTGTATGTTTGTGTCTGTCTGTGTGTGTGTGTGTATGTGTGTGTGTGTGTATGTGTGGCGTCTTCATAGCATTTTCATAGCGTTTTCCCATAAAGGGACAAATGCGACCTTTCTCTGCTGGACTACATGGTTGGTAGGCAAAAGAAGCAAGAAGAGGAAGAAAGAAGATTTACTACGTATTTATAACCAACATGGTCACGTGGTAGGCTCCAGAGGGCATTTCTGATTTTAGCGGAAAATGGTTTTGAATAACACGTAGGCGTTATTGCCAATTTGAACAGGTCAACCGCACGGACGTAGGTGAGAACACGATATTAGGATTAATTGACCAATGAGGAGTCAGAGAAATAGTATGGTAAGATTTTAATTCTGTGATTCACTTTCAAGATTCCCTATCTCCCCAGTTGTGTTTTGCTTTATTTTTTATCCCGATAGGATCAGCCTTTTATATATTCCGACTCCCAAATTCTTTTGCCCCCTCCCTCAATAAAAGGAGGCACGGTGAAGTAATGGATAGCGGCTTGGATTGAGGAATCAGGGATCCGAGTTCCAGTTGAATCATTTACATTCAATTACGTGCTAATACCCTTGAGAAAGGTGTGAATCCCCTTCCTCTCCCTCCAGCTATGGGTAAATAGCAGGACAGACCGAGTTCTATAGCCTTGGATGGCAACTGGTCTCCCGCAAAAAGAAATGGCAACCTACTGCAGGAAAAAATTCTACCTCGTCATTCAGTCATGTATAACTGACTGATCCAATTTTGCGCAGATTTTTGTCGATCGCAGTACTGTTACGTTGGAAATGTATTGGAATCTTTTTTAACCAATGGGATTAGATCACAAATAAAATATTAAATTCAAGTAGAACAATAAATATATTTTTGTAAAAAAACATCATGGGTTGGTTCTATTGGTGTTGACTGCTGAACAAACACAAATGAACCTGAGTAGGTATCTACAATATAAATTAGCTCGCCAAACTCGGAAATGAGCAAACAGCGACTTACTTTTTAATATTTTAAAAATAGTTTTTCCGTAAGTGGTATTTGCAGAAATACAGTTCTAGAAGTGCATGATATACTTTTAGGTACCTCCAATAATTCGCTAAAAAATTAGTATACCATAATGATAAAAGGTCTGAAACTTAATAAAAACAAAGTTTCATCATTAAAATGTTTATGTTATTATTAAAAGGAAAGAACAAAGTATTTTTTAAATATTTAAAAAAAATCTTTCCTTCTTTCTAACACGTTCGAAATTTGGGCAAAAAATCTCGTTTTTTTTTTGTATTTTTTTGTTAACTTTGTATTTGTGGTTATTGCCATTTTTTTAGTGTAGCAGTTTCGGGGAAAACCCATTAATTTGGAAATTCTTGCAAAAATCAAATAATTGCCTAATTTTAATGAAACTTTCAGGACTTATTCAGAAATGAATGAGTTTATTTTTTAAATTTATATTTTTAGAAAATCTTAGTAAAAATATTTTTTTTTACATCTGTTACCCACCCACCAAATTAATTTTATGAAATTTTTTAGAATGTCGAAGCGGACGCAAATTATTTTATATTAAGCAGGACTCCTTGGAGATAAAATCATCAATTTTTTCTTTCACAACTACTGCCACCTTTTTAAAAAATCTGCTTCAAATCGTAAAATAAAAACTGCAATAAACTATCTAATTATCAAATTAGATAGACTTTTATTTGCTGTAGTGAACAAATAATTACCATTGGAGGTAGGGCTAGCACCTCTTCAGATGGTGAAGACTCTGGACGGGGGATCACTCGGCTCGTCCGTCGATGAAGAGCGCGGCCAGCCGCGAGAACTGATGCGAATTGCAGGACTCAGTGAACATTGACACCTCGACCGGACGGGGCCCCGAGACAAGGGATTTCGAGGCCGCAATGTGCGTTCGAGGTGTCGATGTCCTGCAATTCGCATCAGTTCTCGTTTTATTTTCATTTTCATCGACGGACGATAAGAGTGATCCCCGTCCAGAGTCTTCACCATCTGAAGAGGTGCTAGCCTAACCTCCATAATGTTAATTATTTTTTATTATTTATCTATAAATAATAACATTATTATTATTGAAGAAAAATATTTTTGGATGAATAAAGAATTTTTACAAGAATTGTTTGCATTTTTCTTTTAGTTTTTTCATTTTTTTTTTTTTTTCATTTTTCTTTAATTTTAAAAAATGTTTTAAAATTCTTTCATGCACAGTGTGGGGTCGGTTATTAAGTTTTTAAGTGAAGACTATATTTACTAAGAAGACGATCAATAACAAGTTACAATGTAAATTGTTATTGATCGTCTACGTATGGAAGTATATATTTCAATTTCATGATTATTGGGATAAAAACAGATCGGATGGTTTTTCTTGTTGCATTCTTACGTCATCAGAAAATTTGTTAAGTTCTAAACATCGAATTGCATTTTTACGAATATGGACATTTCTTTCCTATCTGACGAAATAAAAACCGTATATTCTCGCGTATCATGCGACCTTTGAAGACCTAATTATGAAGCTAATTTTAAGGGGCTCGCATCATCTCAGTCAGTTATGTGCCATGCGTGATATACGCCTAGGCGATCATGTATCTTTCGATACATGACTGACGAGGCAGATTTTTTTTCTCCCGCAGTAGGTTGCCATTTCTTTCTGCGGTAGACCAGTTGCTATCCAGGGCTATAGAACCAGGTCTGTCCCGCTATTTTTACCCATAGCTGGGGAGAAGAAGAGGATTCATACCTTTCCAAAGTTAAGTGAATATAATAATGGATTCGACTGGAATTTGAACTCGGCTCTCCAACTCCTCAATCCGAGCCGCTATCATGATTTTTATTTTTTACTCCTCGCATCATATACGAGATCTAAAATTAGCATATGTACTGCTGACACTGGCTACGCCGTTGACCAAACTATATCCATTTACTGGAATCAAATGAGCTTCAAAATTAGGTCTTCAAAGGTCGCATAATACTCGAGTATAATATGGTACTCATTCTTTCTGGTAGCTGTTAAACCCGAGGATTAAAAATTGAAAGAAAGAAAACGAAAAAAAAATACCTCAACTTGGGAAGGCGACGTCATCCAAGGGACGTAACTCTAAAGAACTCGCACGCGACCTTTGTTTGGTAATATTACAAGAATATTGGCGGTAAATGTTCCCCGCGCTGAGCTGTGTTTTGGGGTCTGACAAAAAAAATTATTAACAAAAAATAGACAAGATGAGCTTGTGGGTGGACAAATACCGGCCTACCACCCTTAATAAATTAGACTACCACAAAGATCAGGCGACTCTGCTAAAAAAACTGGTAAGTCGATAGCAGAAATCTTATTTCATGTTGTTAGTTACTAGTTTACTTTACTTAACTTTAACTGCTTCTTGTTTTTCCTTTTTGTGTGTGTGCATTTTAATTTTATGACCGGCGTTATTTAAAAATTATATTTCAAATCAATTTTCTAATTTAAATATTGTCTTATCGTCTTTTCTTGATTGCTTTGTTTTCTAAAAGAGTTTTATTACTTTTCTCTCTGTCTCCACATGATCCCAAGGCGATCATGGCTATCCAGTTTCTTTTTCCTTTGTTATTTATAAATTGTGCATTGCCATTGATAATACTGACGATCTTGCACTTACTTTGCTTTGCAGATGTCTACATTGCTTGCATGATCAACAACAACAACAAAAAACAATTCTTATACGATGATAACCATTTCTTTAAAGGTTACGCGCGTTAGATTCTGTAATTCCCATAAATTTATTGGTTAAATTTATGGGATTATTTTGAATGTTTTTGTTGATGATTTATAATTTTCGGTAAATTAGCAGATAATGCCCCAGTGACCAATTTAAAAAAAAAAAAAAAAGAAGCATTATTCCTGTCGTAAAAAAATCCAAAAATTAGCATAAAAAATGAGGAAACTCTACTGTTTATTAACAATCTTAGTTTGGTCCCGGGATTTGCAATTAGTGCCCCGATGACCAATTAAAAAAAATGCATTTTTTCCTGATGTAAAAAAAGCCTGTTTGTTATAAAAATAGCAATAAAATTGAGGAAACTCCTACCGTTTTAGCCTTTTTAGGAGATATTGACAATCTTTGGGTCCCGGGTGCAGCCTGATTATTACAGAGGAAAGCAGGACACCTTCTTGAAGAATGTAGCTTCAGCTAAAAATTAAATGCGTAAAAAATAAAATGTCTGTTCTTAATTCTTGTTTGAAATTCTAACTTGATAAGTGTAATATCGCCAGAAATTTTGGAAATATTTGGAGTAATTTCTCATTTTGGCACTAAAATAAATTGGTCCAATTGTGAACAATAGAAAAAAAGAAAAACTAGTTCCTGGCAGTAATTTCTGAAAATTATCATTAATGTTCTTCGAGTCGCAATATTGGTCAATAATGATTTATTTGTATAGAAACATTGTCAAATCGATTCCTGATTTTTACAGAGTTATTAGCACTTTTTTTTTTTTTTTTTAGAAATGTATTGTTTTGAAAATGGACTTACTTAGCTTGTTTACATCATTCTGCATATTTTTGAAAATTTTTGGTCTTTAAAAATGTGGCGTTATTTTTATACATCTGTTCCTTTATTAACATTTAACAAAAAATGAAAGGGAAATCTATTTCGCCAAACAGTTGTTTGTTTAAAAATAAAAAACTTCTTTCAAATAAAAAATCCGTTCTTTTTTTTTTTATTCAAAGACATTTTTACAAAAATAATTTTTGTAAAATTAAAAAAAAAATGTCTATTTTCGTACACAGATATCAGTGGCCTAGACACCGTTTCAAACTTTAAACTAAAAAACATACAACTATTTTAAGATAACTCTTTATGAGGGCAGGGATCGATTTTTAAGACCCCCCCCCACACACACACACTTCTAAAATGATAACAAATCAATTTTTTTCGATTTTAAAGACTGAAGAAGATTAATCTACAAAAATTATTCCCTCAAATTATTTTCTTAATTTCTTGAATATTTTATAAAAATATTTAATTAAAGTTTTAAAATAAAAATAAAATGAATATACGGACGGCTTCACCCCCGAACCCTATCAAACCCGGAATCGAGAGTGCACCCTACAAATTAGCTAAAGCCTAAACTAAAGTCATGGCAAAAATCCTAACTCCGTTCCTGGAAATTATCAACACGTATCAAATACTCTGGCGACTTTAATGATAATCCAGACTATACATGGCTAGCTTATCAAATCAATATATACACAAATATACCAGTTATAAAATGCCTAAAAACATTAAGCACAGCTGTTTGTGGTTTCCTATAGCCCCACTGAACTGAAATTAATAAAGTCAATTCAGGTTTGCTAAGGTAAAAATTTCTATCCCAAGTAAAAAAAAAAAAAAAAAAATCATCACAAAAATGGCAAAAGTCATTTTGTCACGGCTTATTTTCTCTGAAAAAATGGATTTTCATACTTTTATAGGTGGTAAAATATTGAAAAATGACTGTTTTATCATCACGTAAACTTCAAGGAAACTTTTGATCTGAACCCCAAGAAACTAGGTATTTTCTGAAAGCAAAGGATATATTCTTTCATTTAAAAGTAAATTGGCTGGTGTAAATGACTCAAATATTTTTTTTTTCAGGCAGTAAAATGTGAAAAAATCGTGAAAATTTTCCTTTTTTTTCTTTTTTTTTTTTCTAGTTCTAAACAAAAATTTTCCCCCATTAATGGGAAATTAACCATTTTCTTTTTAAAATCAGAAAGCCTAAATCATAATCAAATTATTTTAGGCATAAAATTGAGAATTTTGAAGGAAATCCACATTCCTAGGGGATCAAAATGCAACAAAGTCCATTGGTAATTTTCAATTACTTAATCCTACCGTTTTACATTGTTTCTACGAAACTTGAAAATAAAATAGTTATCCCTAATATTAGAATCTTTACCCACCCAAGACAACCAGGAATATAATTAGGAAGAAAAATAAATTCAACACTAATTCAAATGCTGGTATTTATCAAATAAATTGTTTACAGTGTGAAAATGTGTATGTAGGAGAGACCTCACATGATCTAGAAGCCGTATAAAAAAGATTTATGTTTAGACGACCATTTAAACTCTCTCGTAATACACAGGAACAAAATGGGCCATAATTTTGATTTTTTTTACTAATTGTACCCTAATTAAAAAAAAAAAAAAGAGCATAATTCTTTAAGGTGAGAGTACTTTGAGAGCTTAAGAATACTAGCTATAAACACACGTCAAAAACATTATTACATTGACAACCGCTATTGACTCCATTCTTAAAGAATCTAACATGTTTATGTAAAAGCATACCTAAATCAACATATGCAAAAACTAACAAACATAATGTCTACTAGACATACATACAAATATATGCAATTACAAATATACATTATCATCAGATGCCCACATAGACTAGAATTTTTATAAACCTACATACATACATATACAGATTATGAAATGGACAAAGTCCGACAATTATTTTAAGACATTTTTATGTTTATCCATTCTTTTTATAGACACAAATGCTCTGTTTATAATAAACAGTATTATTGACATTTACCAGCCTGAATGTCCGAGAAATTTTCATAGAAAATATTCGTTCTCCGACTGGAATCGAACCAGTATCCTATACCGAACCGTCATTTAGCCTAACGTGCCTTAACCAATTAAGCCACAGAGGATCTTTCAATTAGCAAGATTGTAGTTTAAAAGCAGTAAAAATCTCTTATTGAATACGGAGCACTGCAAATTATACTAACATTGGTTTAAAATAGTCAGATGCATGCAAAAGCTGATTAACGAATGAAAATCAAAGACAAAAGTAAAAACACCAAAATTTCTTTCTTTTTCACCATACCTTAATTTGGTTTTTAATAGCCATTTCCCTCCAAGGAAACATTTGGCATTCATTGACCAAGCAGCTAGTACTGTGTTCAGTTGAAATTTATAAAATCTTTTTCTTAAAAAAATGTTTTAGAAGAACAGGTTTCTCAAGAGCAGTTGCTTTTATTGCTCTTTCCAGTATCAATGTGGGGTTTCTTGACTTTTATTTGGAATGGTGTGGAATGTTACATATGATACTCAGGCTTCATTATTTTCTCTTTGAGTTGTCCTCCAAGTGATGTGATATCCAGTTTTTGTTTGTTGCTGCTCCACAAGTTCAAAGAAATGATTCCTCTTCATATTTTTGATGTGGTTTCTGATTCCATTTGTTATTCTAGTTTTGTTAAAGTTCTTTGTTTATGATTCTTTGTTTGTGATTGCACCAGCACCAGTCCACAAGGTTCAAAGAAGGATGATCTTTGCCAAGACACTCAGGCTTCATTATTTTCTCTTTGAGTTACATATGATATCCATTTTAGTTGTTGCGGCTGTTGAAAGTCCTCAAGTGATGTGGTTTCTGTTATTTGGTACAGTTCTTTGTTTGTGGTTCTGTAGCACCAGCCCACAAGGTTCAAAGAAGAATGATCTTTGCCAAGACACTCTTCATTATTTTCTCCAAGTTACATTTGATATCCATTTTTGTTGTTGAAAGTCCTCAAGTGATGTGGTTTTTTTTTGGTACAGTTCTTTGTTTTGGTTTGAGGAAGGTTCAAAGAAGTTCTATAGACTTCATTTGTCTTTTTTGAAAGCAGTTCTTGAAAACTGTACTCATAATCCAAATTACCTCTTACTTATTCTTGCTTGAATTGATTGCAATAATTTTGTTTTCATTTTACTTTTGTACGTAGGTGAATCGGGGTGATTTCCCTCATCTTCTTATCCATGGACCTTCTGGTGCTGGAAAGAAGACCAGAGTGATGGCTCTTCTTCGAGAGCTCTATGGTAATAGTGTGGACAAGTTATCTAATCGAGTGTACAATTTTGTTACTCCGTCGAAAAAGAAACTGGACATCATGACCATTTCCAGTAACTATCATATTGAAGTGAACCCCAGGTAAGTGATTACAAAAACTTGTACGCAAGATGCCATTATGTAATATCTGCATAAAAGCATGCACTTTTTTAAACAATTTCTTAAACTGCTATGTCTTTTCAGGAAATAGGCGATCATGGCTTTTTATAGATTCCCTTTCTTTGTTTCATGCCTCAGTGTTGGGTAATGGTTAACAAGGCCTGTTTAATTGACCACTGGTACTAAATAATTGAACAAGGATTGACATTATAAAACCAATCAACCTGACTATTTTTCTTTGTTATAGCTCAATTCAAATTGCAAAACTTTTAAGTCTCACAAATGCACAGGCTGGTAGACATAAATTTGCACTGTTTAAAAAACATAAAAACATTCTTACAATCTAAAAATATTTTCTGGTGTTACATAACTTGTAAAGTCATTGAAAATGGATCAATCAATCAGGCATTACTTCTTAAAAAATAAATTAGACGAAGCATTTGAAAATGTTTTTTTTTCAAGGCTATATATATATATATATATATATATATATATATATATATATATATATATATATATATAATGAACTCTCCCGTCGGTTTCGACGTCAATGAGAATCTGACAGCTTAGTTGATTCAGTTATGAAATTTTGTGCTATAATCATCTTAAGTGGCATTTAAGACCCGCGAGTGATTTACAAAGGAGGCCACATTTGGAGCAAGTACGAGGATTGTGAGATGAGATCACTGTTAGATTGGCTGACCTTTTTGATCTTGCTCTCGCTTCTTGAAGATAATTCAGACAAGCAGATTGAAAATTGCTGAGTCCACTAAAACACGTTGATCTCCATTCTACCCGCTCCAAGGCTAAGTGCTCAAGGGTGTTATGTGGTATATTGACTGTCAAGTACCCCAAGGGGAATAACTCTTTAATTGTAAATTACGTCCCTTGTATTGTTCGCTTTTAGTACATAGTTAAACCTTAAACTTGGATACTCGTATTTGAACAGACGCTTATTTATTAAATGGCATATTTATTTTTATCTACCGTTATCAATATTTAAGAAATCTTATTAAACAAAAATATGCAGGATTCGAAACTGCGTCCTTAGATCTGATATGCTATTTAACTGACTTTTTGAATTTTCATCATATTCAAATCTTGTGAGAATGCACATATTTTTCTATAAATAAATATACTGTTTAATAAATAAATGCATTGTCTACTCAAATATTAATATCGTCTAAAAATAACGTTTAAAATGATTTTAAAAAAAAATGATTAAATAAATAAAAAATCCATTACTTTAGAAATTGCTTTATGTTTGGATACAAAACGGAGAAGATATGAAATTTCAAGAGTACATGAAGAGAAAATTTTACGTAAAGGCACTATTCAGCCTTATTTGATTGGCAAAGTTTCTTTCTGGCTGAGTCAGTTAAAGTATGCTAAAGTACCCACAGGCAAATGGTCTGAAATCAGAGAGGTCCACAGTGCCATGCTGTGTCCCAGAGTCCAAATCCTTGTACTAAACCTAAAGAGTCCATTATTTTCTGTCATGGCTTGAAATAGTGGAGGCCAGTTCCTTCAAGACGACAGGTGAGGTGGATTTGTTTTTGAAGTCACCGTTTTCTAGCATTTGCCTAAAGAGGAAGCAGAGTTTTTCCTTTTCTCTTGATACCCAAGACTATAGAAACCAGTCTGTTTTGCTATTTTACCCATAGCTGGAGGGAGAAGTGATGTATTCATACCTGCCCCAAGGGAATTTACACATAAGTGAATTGGTATAAGAATGACAATTGGAAAAAAAAATCTTAGTTTTTGTCAACACATTTCGTCTTCCGACTTTATCAAGGCAAACAATGAAAGTGAAAAGATTTTTTTCCAATTGTCATTCTAACACCAATTTGTCTTATCCATGGAATTATTCTAAGAAATCTTACTACATAAGCGAATGTAACAAACTTGTCAAGGATTTGAATTTGGCTTTTTGCTTCCTCAGTGCAAGCCGCTATCCATTACTCCTCTGTATCTATATTTTTAATGTAAATTCCCAGATGTCAAAGCAATTTAAATCTGCAAGATGTAAAAAAAAAATTGGTTTCACAAAGATATTTAAAACATATTTCATTCTTTTCATACATTAAATAGATCATTACTCAGTTTTGACATTGCTTGTAATTCTTTTTTATTTGTTTCATCCCAATCAAGGCAATAAAGTCACTAATATGTAAAGGGTTAGTGTGTGTTACAGATAACACGATTAAGAGGCATCACTGTCGCCAGAATGAAAGGGGGACAACTCATATCGAGTTATACTTATTATAAAACCCAGGTTGTTTGTGAGTGTGTCTTTGTTCATTTATATATGGGATCGCATTTCCTACATTTTTCAACCGATTTCAACAAAACTTCACTTTTTTTTGTTTTTTTTGTTTTTGTTTTTTTTTTGGCAGGTAGTGTCTCTTATTGTCTTACACACTTTTTTCTTTATTTTTACATTCAGAATGCTTTAAAAATTCCATTTACAAAACAATTTTTTATAATAAAATTCTATTCAATCAGTAGACTCATAACGATTGAAAACAATGTTTTTGTTTGAGTTTGGGTTTGACCAATTCATAAAAAAAAAAAAAATCTAATTAAGACATGCGTGTCCGTCAACCTTAAACAATAATCTTTGTCAATTTTATTTTTCAGTCTTTATGATGGTCGATACTTGATTTATCGCTTACTGTTACATTCCCGGGCAATGCCGGGCTCCCCTGCTAGTATGTTATAAAAAAAAAAAACAACTTAATAAATCGAATAATGTCTTTTAGCTTTATTTACTTTCTCTGGGATTTATCACTTTAAACGTTATTTTTATTGGATACTCATATTGGAGTAGACACTCTGTTTATTTAAGAAAAAGATCCTGTTGAAGAGTGCATATTTTACCTTAATAAGATTTCTCAGATATTCAGGCCGGTAGACACAAATAAATCAATATATTGTCTAATAAATAAAAGAAGCATCTATTCAAATACAGATATCCAGTAAAAATAATGTTTAAGATGATAAAATCTGTCAGATTAATAAATAAATAAAAAAATCCTTGACTTCAGAAACTTCTCTGTAATATAAATGTATAAAACTAGCGTGGCCACAAAGTAAGGGATCAGTTTATATATTAATTGTAATAAAGAATTGATCCTCCACTTTATCCATATCATAATTTCTTGTAGGCATATCTTTTAGAATTATTTATATTCTCTGGAATATAATTTTATAGAAACTGTCGTAGCCACAACGTGAGGAATCAGTTTATATATTGATTATAATATAGAATTGATCCCCCACTTCATATCCACATAACTTGACTGTATTAAATTCTGATTAGGTATGAATCCACCTCTTCTCCCCCAGCCATGGGTTAATTAGTAAGACTTGTAACACTAAATCATTATCTCCCCACCCCAAATTCTTAGAATCTAAAAATATTTTCTGACTTTAAATAACCTGCAAAGGGTTGTTAAGCCGTAAGTGTCAGCTTGGCTCTATTTTAGTCAGGAGTTCCTTATTAGCCTCTACAATGATAACATTATGCTTACGACCAGCATTTTTAAATATTAGTCAATTATTGGTACTTAATTTAATTTGTGTCTAATTTATTTTCTTTTTCTTTTCCTATCCGCTATAGTGATGTCGGTGTTCAAGATCGTGTGGTTATCCAGGAACTCATAAAGACTGTTGCCGAAGTCAACCAACTTGAGACAAGCAGCCAACGAGATTTCAAAGGTCAGGACAGCCAGTTAACCTCAGATTATTTTTCACTGCCCTTTCTTTTTTTTCATTTCTCTCTACTATTATCTGTATTTATTTTAATTATCAAATAATTTGGTATTACTAACTCATCCGCTGGTATGGTCATAGTTGTACGTCTTGATGAAATTTACATGGCTTGCCATCAATATATGCATACATTTTGAAGACATACCTTTTACAGGTTTATAAAATCTGAATACTCACTGGGGTAGACTGTTCTAGTTCCTCATGCAATGTTTTAATGGATGTCAGTTATCAGTTATCTCTTGTTAATTCCCCTCTCCACTGCCTTAACCAAGTATTGAACTCACACTCTTTGGGTCCTGTCCCTGGACCTAACCTACAGCTTTATCCACTAATCCAGTGGATAAAGGCATTAAGTATTTTATATTTTTGTGTTGCAATATATAATCCCTCGATTCCTGCTCTGTTGAGTGATGGTGAAACCGGTTGGCTGCGTTTGTTTTGTTTTTTTTTATTGTAATAAAAAAAAAGCCACGAATTGCGTTCAGCATGAAACATCCTGTCGCCTCTGAGTGTTGACTTCAATGTTCACTTTTATATTTATATTTACATATGCTCTATCTCTGATATTGAGCACTTTATCCCATAAATATAGCACACCTTACAACTATATTTATTCAGAGATATATATATATATTTTCACACACATAGATAAAGATATGACAAATAAACAAAATATTAACATTAGACAAATTTTAGGTAACACCAAAATTTTATACAGGACACAGAGCAAAAAGGCTCCATTGACAGAATTTTAAAAGATTTAAAACTTTATAAATTATTATAATTGAAATTTGCAAAAAAATAAAACAATTCTTGTAAAAATTCATTATTCCTCAAAAGTTTTTTGATAAATAATGAAGACATATTGTCTCCCTAATATATTTTATTCATTAAAGCAGTTAAGCTTTTCTAATTAAATAATATCTGTGTTTTATTGTATCTTTAATTTTACAATTCAGAGCTGATGTTTGGTAACTCCCCCAGTTCTGCTCTTAATTGTAAAATAAAAAATACTAAAAAAATTGATGATTTCAATTCTCCAAGGACTTCTGCTTTTAACTAACATAAATGTTAAACTCTACAAAATTTAATTTCTCAATATTTCATAGAATTAAATAAGTGGGGCATAGCATGTGTAAAAAAAACAAAAATTATTTTTACCACTGATTTTCTAAAAAGCAACATTTCAAAAACAATTTAATTCATTTGTGAATGAGTTCTGAAAGTTCATTAAAATGTGACAGTAATTTTATTTTTGCAAGAATTTCCAAATTAATGTGTTTTTCACTGCAAAAAAAAGAGGCTAAAATTTCCTATACCAATCTCTATTTTCCATCCGGTCAGCACTGATGTAAAATTTTGAATGTTAAATAAGGGATCAAAAAGAATATAATTTGACAATCAAAAAATTTTTTGATCTTTCCTCTTAATAATAAGAGATTTTGATGACCCAAACTTAAAAGTTTTATCATGTTTTCATCATGGTATGGCAATTTTTTTTAGCAAATCTGAATGTTTCTAATTTTGTTCTCATCAGAATGGACTGATCTCTCTACTACTAATAGGACAGTTCTATAGAGTTCTGGGAAGATCAGGTGACCATCACACTTCCGTCTCTCTACCGGAAGATACAGTTGGACTTTATACTCTTTCTGATTGTTACTGACTAACCTGCGTTCATTTGACTACTAATCTTTCTGTTGTAAATACCTCTTCGGATATACCAGTATTTTTCCCTACGTATGTGTTTGTCTTTATTTCAATACACGCACACGGAAACACTCAACATCTCAACAAATTTCTTGATATGTATGTTCATATGAAGGAAGTATTATGGCTTTATTTTGTATTCTAGTGATTGTCTTAAACGAAGTTGATCGCTTGACCAAAGATGCACAGCATGCTCTCCGACGTACAATGGAGAAATACATATCAACTTGTCGGATTATCCTTATTTGTAATTCCACCAGTAAAGTGATCCCAGCTATTAAAAGTCGATGTTTGGGCATTCGTGTTCCGGCACCCTCTATTGATCAGGTGAGTGGACGTTTCTTCTTGGAGATTTCGATAAAAATTCATTCTTCTGTATTTTCTGCAGATCTATATACGCCCGATAAAACAAAAAAAATTTATTTCTGATGACTTTTTTGTTTAATTACAATTTCTTGTGGTTGATCCTTATTTTGTTTCTTTTTTTTTTTTTTTTTTTTTTTAGAAAACTGTCCTACATATCTATAAGCCTACCATTTGTCCATGCTTAGACTATTGCTGCCACATATGGTCCAGTGCTACTGCTATTTACCTTGAATTCCTTGATAAAATCCAAAGAAGAATCGGCAATATTATTGGTCCTGATCTGGCATCTCAGCTCTAGTCACTTTCTAACTGCATTGGTTGGATCCAGTGACTTGACCCGAAACAGTTGTGAGATCAATACCTGGCCACTGCAGTGGTGAATAAAAACTTGGAGAGTCAAGTTAAAGGGAATTAACTGAGATATCCAGAAGAGGCATGGCACATGGAACTAGAATAACCTACCCTGGTGGACAAAATAAAGAGTTCAGTTCGAAATCCCAATCACCTGAAGAAGGCCAAAGCAAACAATGGCCGAAACATCATGAATATGACAAAGATGAGGACAACATTCCAAACAATGTAAATAATTACAATACCTCATCTCAAAAATATAGACAGATATCACCAGTAACTACAAAATTTCCCATATATATTAATCTTTTGTAAAATAGGTATTTCCCAGATGCGGATGACATAACTATTTATTCCTGTTTTAGTAGCAAGTCCAACAGCTGAGATAAAGTAAAACTAGCAACTAACCTCAAGAAGGACTTCCAATCAGTGGTTAACCGGGGCAAGGAACGGCTTGTAAATTTTAGTACCTCAAAAACAAAACTGCTTTTATCTAATCACCACAGAGAACCTTTTTTTGTCTGTCATCAGTATGGCTGATGCTAACCTTCAGGAGAGCAACACTTTGTACCTTCTTGGGCTCACATTTTCAATTGGCATGAAACAGGGATTATATTGAATCAATTTCTAAGTCTGCTGCTAGGAAAGTTGGTTCACTGTGTCATTGCCAGACAAATCAGACTCCAGCTTGCATTTTTATAAATCTACCATTCTCTTACGGAGTGGTTTCATAGTGGAGGCTTGTAGTTGTACTAAGTCGGTCCTAAAATAGGTTCGACGTTAGGAACTTGATATAATAGGTAATGACGTAGAGTAATCTAGTTGCGGTCGCTGATACTTTAGTATCTGACTAACAGTCATCCGGCATCGACTGACCGACCGACCGAACCACTGAACAACTCCCTCGTTACTCTTACTACTCCTACTTATTATAGGTGGGAGAGTCTATTAACTATAGAATAGGTCTGTTCCACTATAACACATTCATAGAATGTATTGAATACTGCTGCTAAATTTAGTCTCTGCCCCTACTATGTATCTCGAGATTCTTGACAAAATTCATTTCAAAGAACGATCTGCAATGTAATTGTTGCAGCATACCTACGGTCGATAATGGGTATGTCCCCATTCACATAAATACAGTAGTAAGTACTGTATGTTGGTCTGCAGTTTGAGATCCATTGCGGAATTCACTTGACTCACTTCTAGTAGTTGACTACTTCTACGCGCCACTGGCGAATCTTATAGGTGTTTTTCTTGTCCTAAGTATTATCGTTCATTACCAACCTTTGTGTGATTATTCTATTCAGTAACCTTCCTTAGGTTACAACAGGAATAGATCCTAACCTAGCATTCTCCACTTCAATCACTTTCTCACCAACATGAAGAGTCTTCCCTCTGTCTTTTCTACAAGTATTTTTATGGCAATTGTTCTGATGAGCTTTTCTTAGTGCTTCAACTTAATTTAAATGTGCTACTAGGTTGGCTGGTAGGTCCCACCGTTTTACTGTTGAACTAGCTAGGTGCAACCATCAGTTGTATTCTTCTTCATTTTCTTTTCTTGCCTGTGAAACACTCGATTTCTTTCTTCCCTACCACCACCATCATTCTTTAAAAATTTAAATTCAGTGTTAGTTGCCATTCTATGTCTTCCTGAATCCTGTTCTTTTATTGTCGTTTTGCTCACTTCTCGTTACTAAAGTCTTCTCGGTCACCCTGCGTCCGAGTGGCAGAAATACGGTGCTAGCATAATTTAAAGAATCTATTCCAAGTTATTACATGAATTGGGAAAACTGTTCTTGAGTAACAGGTTATGATTTCTGTCTGACATCCGTCTCGTTACAGATGTGTCAGGTGTTACAGATGGTGTGCAAAAAAGAAGGCCTCGTATTGCCCTCGGAGTTGGCCAAGAAAATCTCTGAGAGCAGCAGAAGAAACATGAGGCGAGCCCTTTTAATGTGTGAAGCATGCAAAGTACAACAGTAAGTATGACACTGACCATTGTACAACATTTTGTTTTAACCTTTACCACACTAATTTCTTTCTGGAATTATTTTTTCCAGGTTTTCAGATAAGACATTTAGCCATCTTGATACCATTTATTGTAAGAATCATTGAAAAACTCTTTCAATTATTCAGCTAAAAAGAGAACAAGTTAAAATCTTTTTGTGTCAGCCCCACTGTCTTGCCAACTGAGCAATGGCGAGAGAAAAAAGATAATTCAGGCCCCTTTAGTAATGGTACCAATATTCACACTCTGGCTTCCATCTTCAAAGTCCATTCAAGAACCATCAAGAGAACGGTGAATAAGTTTAAAACAGAGGGAACAGTAGAGAGGAAAATTAGATCAGGAGGTCACAACAGGAAGAGGGATCATCATTTCAACTTAGAGCTAAAGAGATCAATTAGAAAAGATCCAACTCAAATTATAAGATGCTTGGCACATGAGAGAGGAGTTTCAGCTATGACAGTCCAAAGAGAAGTGTAACAAGATTTGAAAATGAAATTATATGTGAAACCTGTGTGGCACCTTGTTACTCCAGGACAGAAAGTTAGAAGGTTAGAGTGGGTGAAGATCATCATGAATAAGTTGGAAAATGATCCTGGATTTGAACTTTATTTCAATCCTTCATGAACTTCCAATCCTTAGGTATTATTAATTAATGATTAACATGTCATTTTCATTTATGATCAGTTCCGTCACGATTTTTCTGTTAAGCTTGGAGAGTAATTATAAATTCTTATTTCTCAAAGTAGAGTCCAATAGTGTTATAAAAACCACAGAAAATTCCAATACAATATCTTTAATCATTCTTAAGATAGAACGGTTAAAAGCTTGATTTGACAAATGGAGAATTTTGCTTTTACATGATTTGGACAATTTTGCTGTTACACTTGTGTGTATGTGTGTGTAATATTATTATGATTATTATTATTGCTTAAATGTTATTTTTAGTCTGTAATCATATTTGAGTAAATACCTTGTTTATTTATTAAATACCATATTTATTTATTTTCATTTACTAGCCTGAATATTAGAAAGAGAAATATATGCTCTCGACTATATTCAAACCTGCATACACGTTGGGCAGAGAAACCTTCGTTAGATCCAACATGTTTTTTCATTGGCATAAATTACTTTCTGTCTTCTTGCAGTTGATGGTTATTCCTTTTTTTCTTGCTTTCTTTTACTAGCCAATCTTGGAAGTCTTGTAATTTTCTTTCCATGTCAGCGACCAGCAGTGTCATCTGTGTCTCATTTTGAAATGGCAAATGTATGCAGACGTTTTAAAAGATGCACACTGATTTACACTATTTACAGTATTCGGACTATTGTCCTCATCTTTGTCACCATATTTATTACAACGTTTCGGCCCTTCAGTATCTGTCTATATTTCTGAGATGAGGTATTATGTACACTATTTACATTATTCGGACTATTGTCTTCATCTTTGTCACCATATTTATTACAACGTTTCGGCCCTTCAGTATCTGTCTATATTTCTGAGATGAGGTATTATGTACACTATTTACATTATTCGGACTATTGTCCTCATCTTTGTCGCCATATTTATTACAACATTCGCCCTTCAGTATTTGTCTATATTTCTGAGATGAGGTATTATGTGCACTATTTACATTATTCGGACTATTGTCCTCATCTTTGTCGTAAAATATTTATTACAACGTTTTGGCCTTTGTGCTCTCCAGCCTTCTTCAGGTGGTTGGAATGTCGGACTTTTTTCTTTATTTTATTTTCACTGGGGTAGACTGTTCTAGTTCCACGTGCTGTTTAATGGATGTCAGTTATCTCCTGTTAATTCCCCTCTAAGTTCTCCACTGCCTTAACTGGGTATTGAACTCACACTCTTTGGGGCCTATCTGAATAATGTAAATAGTGTACATAATACCTCATCTCAGAAATATAGACAGGTACACTGATTTTAAACACATAATTCTGTTTCTGCAAAATAGTGTATCCGATAGACTAGCAAATACAGTAGTTTTTTTGTTTTTTCTTAATAAAAGCTACGTACTTTCTTTCTCCTTTTTCGATTTTATTTTATACTTTATAAACTTTATGTACTTTATATTTCATCAGGTACCCCTTCAGTGTTGACCAAGAGGTAGTCGAGCCTGACTGGAAACTTTACCTGCAAGAAACAGCAGCCATGATGGTTCAACAGCAAAGTCCCCAAAGGTGAATTCAACTAACTCGTTTCAGATTCTTTATCTCACTCCATTATGTTACTTTTGAACCCCGACCGCCACTGAACAAAATCATCAACTGCTCCCGGTGAGAATTTTTCTCTCTCCCCCAACTATGGGTTAAATAGTAAGGCGGAGTTCATTGTTATCCCCCAATAAATTTGTTAATGCAATATTTAAAAAAAAAAAGAATTATTTTTAGAATCCAATATATGTTTTGTCTTTAAATAACTGACAAAGTGTTGATAAGCTGTAAAACATAAAAATAAATGAAATAGCAGCTCCTTGCTTCCACATATAATCCAACATGAAATATTTCTTTTTCTTTTTTTTTGCAGACTTCTTGAAGTCCGTGAACGGCTTTATGAACTGCTTACACACTGCATACCACCAGACATAATCATGAAAGGATTTACCAATTTTTTTTTTTTTTTTTTTTTTACATGGCTTTGTTTTTCTGAGTAAAAATTAGTTACCAAGCATTTTTATAGTAACTGAAATATATTATAGCAATTTTTCTAAGCCCGGCTTAGATGTGGCACAAAAAAATAAAGTATGGGGTACCCAGTGAGGATCGAACTCACTACTCATTGGTAATTGATTAAGCAAGACAAGCTTCCTAACCATTAAAAATGAAAAGGTGCCCAACTGAAATATATTATAGTTGGTATATTTGCCTGTTTCTTGACTAATTGAAATCTCATCCTACAGAGAGAGGAAAGTAAGTCATAATAAAAGTTTTCTTAATATTTTTTTATTAATAATCCAAAATAATTTGACACTACACTTATATATTTAAGTAATTTTTGCAATTTCTTTTATAATAATTAAAATTAATTCCATATTTTTCTTTTTCTATGCATCATGTCCTTTCAAGACATGAGCGATCATGGCTCTCCACAACTTCCTGTCCTTTGTAGCTTTGAATAAAGTTTGTCTTTTTATTATCTCTCCTAATCCCTGACCTGTCAACCATTTGCACAAACCCATTAGGTAAGTTATTTAATGCTTTCCTCTCTCCCTCTTGCCTTCTGTGAGTGTCAAATACTCCAAGCCCTCTTTCCTCATTATGTGCCATAGAAATTTCAACTCTCTCTTTCTGATGTTAAGTGTGCGTCCTTTTCAATCCATGCTTTCTCCTGTAGAACCACATTTATATTGCTTCAAGTTTCTTTTTCATGTGGGGAGGAGATTGTCCAGCATTCACTGCCATATAGGAGGACTGATATTACGTAACAGTTCAGTACTCTTTTCTTTGTTTCTTTTACTTCAAGTCTCTTCTTCATCTGTGAGGAGATTGTCCAACATTCACTGCCATATAGGAGGACTTATATTACATAAGAGTTCAGTTCTGTTTTCTTTGTTTCTAATGAAATTTTCATTGTTTTTTAATACATTACTTAGCTTTTGGAAGGCATCTTTCAATATCCCTATGTCTGTGGATTTCAGTGTCACATTTTTCCTTGTTCAGTTAAAGTTTCCCAGATATTAAAATTTTCATATTCAATGATACTCTCTCTTAGTCTTCCACTAGGCGGATACATAACCCTACATTGTGTTTGTATTCTCATTTGTGTCAATGTGTGCAAAAACTTGGATGGAGCCAATGCACGTTCACTCAAAAATGAAAGGTGAAAATAAATTCAACAGTAAGAAATGATTTAAATCCTGTTGTTTTTTTTGTTTTTTTTTTACACACACACACACATTTCCTTGTTCATTTCACGGATTCTCTTGGTTCGGTGAGACGTTACAACTTCCACTGCATCAGACTAACAGATCAGCTTTTCCCCTCAACCGAGAACTCAAACTTTCTCCTACCAACTCGCCTCAAGATTCAAAGCATGGCTGGCAACTCCTCTAACAGGCATTAGAGCTACATCATTGAACAGTCTGTTTGGACAGTCCTGCGCTATTAATCCCAACTGTGCCAGTTTATATAAGTCTACAACTAGGAATTTCTTATATCTTGCTTGGTGTCACTTAACCCCTAAAATTTTTATTTATGGATTTATTTTCTCTTTTGGTCAAGTGGGTGGCTGTTTTTGAAGATCCCATTTCTCAGACTTTATTGCTGATTGTGAAGTGCTAGACACTTAAGACTGAGATAAAATCACTCTCCATTCTCTTCTCTGTGATGTCGCAGCCATAGTGTCAGGATTATAGAAATGCACTGAAAAGGAATTTACTATAGAAATGTATTGGAAAACAGGAAAATGGATTGTCGATGGTCAGGAATTAAGTTAAGCATGACTTAGAATATGGCTATTTTATATACTAGCCAAATCTCCGTCTTATGAACATTTCTCTTAATAATAATAATAATAATAATTCAGCAGATGATGTTATTTTATTTATTGTAACTGGACTCGTGGTGATTATCTGCCTGTGAGCGGATAAACTACATTTCTTCTCTCATTTGTCTCTGTCTGCAGACTGAGCGCAACTGACAATATTACTGAGATGTCCCAGGTCTCCCATTAATACCCCCCTCATTGCACCAAAGAGGGGCATTTTTATTGATTCTTATGTCAAAAGCAACTGACAATATTTTTTGAGATGTCCCAGGTCTCCCATGGCAGTACCCCCCCCCTCATTGCACTAAAGAGGGGGCATTGGTAGTGATACTTATGTTTTTAATAGGACTTTGACAATATTACTTGAGATGTCCCAGGTTCCCATGGGTAAACTATTCATTGCACTAAAAAAGGGGCATTGGTAGTTTGAAACTTATGTGACAATAAAAACTGACAATATTACTGAGATGTCCCAGGTCTCCCAAATTTTATCCCCCTCATTGCACTATAGGGGGGAAAATAGTGATATTTTATGTCAGCGCAACCTTCCTTTTATTTCAATGAATGGGGACTGCGTTATTTTTGGACTTGGGGCCCAGGCTCCCCACATTAAGTTGTTCTTGTGTCACATCCTTACCAGCATGGGGTGGCAAGAAAATATTCAAAATTTATCAGCTTTGTTTTAAGGTTCAAAGTGCAGTATCTGTTCTTATCAGCTTAATCTGATTTTCTCTCTCCACACTTCTATATTCCATTCTTTTCCCGTGATCAAAACAGAGTAGCCTGTTATTTATGACTGGCAGGTTTTTAAAGAAAAATGATTGCTAGTTAAATATAAGGAGATACAAGCACTATTATTATGAGATGGATTGAAAAGGAACTTGCTATAAAAATGCATTGGAAAACAGGAAAATGGATTGTCAATGGTAAAAAATTATGTATATTATATTTGATTTTTTTTGTTTTTGGGTTTTTTTTTTTTTTCCCAAATTGAATTTTTTTTTTTTCTGTTTTTCCATATATAATTTTGAAGAGCTCATCTCCAATGAAAGATGGCCAGCTCAAAATGGAATTTAAAAATCGGATGCTTATTTTGAACAAATATTACAACTTGGACAGAAGCCAATCTTTCATGGAAGAAATTTTGGCCAGATTTATGGCGATAAAGAGTATTTTATAATGTCTAATGGAGCTGAACATTTTTTTTTATGTTTAGATGCATTTAAACTGATCAAATTTTATTTCAGAGAACAATAAAATTAAATTTTGTTTGATTAAAACCCTGCTAACATGGAAGTACCCAAGAATCATTTGAGGCACATAATGATTTATGAGTTCAAGAAAGGAAACACAGCAGCCGAAGCGACTAGAAACATTCACTCAGTTTATGGAGAGGAATGTGTGAATGAAAGAACTTGCAGAAAATGGTTTGCAAAATTCAGAGGTGGAGATTTCACCCTTGAAGATGAAGATCGAACCGGACGTCCAGTTGAGTTTGATGAAAAGCTTCTTGAAGCAGCACTTGAAGAAAATCCTGCTTTATCAGTTGAGGAATTGGCAGTGGTTCTCAGTTCAAACCATGCAACTGTTCATCGTCCACTTCAACAACTTGGAAAAGTTCCTAAACTTGGAAAATGGGTGCCTCATGAATTGTCTGAAAACAACCTCAAATCCCGAGTTGACATCTGCTCTTCTCTCCATTCTCGCCAACTTGTTTCACACCTTTTTTGGATAGACTTGTGACTGGCGACGAAAAATGGATCTTTTATCAAAATGTTAAGCGTCGTAGACAGTGAATTGGTAAAGGGGAAGGACCCCAGCCAAAGCCAAGAAGGGAACTTCATGGGCAAAAGTTTCTTCTTTCAATCTGGTGGGATCGCCAAGGAATAATCCACTTTGAATTCTTACCACCTAATGCAACAATTAATGCTCAAATATACTGTCAGCAATTAGAGCGTTTGAACCAAGCTTTGAGGAAAAAAAGACCTGCTCTAGTGAATCGAAAAGAGGTGATGTTTCATCAGGACAATGCGCGACCCCACACAGCAAGAATCACGTCACAAAAGATCGAAGAACTTGGTTGGGAGAAAATTCCTCATCCACCTTATTCTCCCGATCTTGCTCCTTCAGACTACCATTTGTTTTGTAGCTTACAGAATCATTTGGAAGAAACAGCTTTTGTAACACAGGAAGAGGTTAAAACTGACATTTGTGAGTTCTTCGAATCAAAGCCAAAAAAGAATTTTACAGTAATGGAATTAGTAAGCTTGTTAATAGATGGAAGGAAGTCATAGATAATCAGGGAAAATACATTGTTGATTGAATCTGTAATTAAATGTAACATTTGGTCACTTGTTTTCTTTATTCAAAATTCGGACAGAACTTATGGGATGACCTGATAATATATATTAAATATATATATATATATATATAAATATATTATATATATATATATATTGTTAAAGAAACATACAGCCATAGTCAAAATTTGGCCGATAAAAATTATTTAGGAACATAAACAAATTATCTTGTATAAACAATGGAACAGCATTTTATTCTTGAAATTGTATTTTAAAAATACTAATAAGTAATGAATTTTTTACATGAACTGTTTATATTGGATACAGGATGTTAAAACAGATAATTTTAGAAAAATTCACTGTATTTTTAAATAAAATAATTTTTATATATGTTAAATTTTAAATATATTAATGGTCATTGGCATTTTTTGTTCAGACAAAAAAGAGCTATTTTTATGGTTTTTATATAAATTTGAACAAAAATAAAAATAATGAAAATTAGGTCCAAAAACAAAATTTTGAGATGGTTATGGATATTTCTGCCTATTGGATCATTTAATATCCAAATATTTTTTACCCATTTTTTGCAGGATAAAAATTTTATAGGAAAGAAAGGTAAAGTTTTTGTCAAGAAATATGAATGATTCTCTAAAATAAGAAAATTTTAAAAAGGACAAAAATCTATTTTTCAAAAGAAAGGGCATTTTTCATGAATTTAAAAGAATATTTAAAATCAAATATATACAATTATTATCTATTTGTTTTTATTAATTGATTTTTTTTTTTTTATAATTATTTCAAATTTTTTTTCTTTTAAAAAATTCCACTGTAACGATTTTTTTTGAATGTACTGCATTGCATAATATGGTTTTTAAATGATATTTGAAAAAAAAACATTGCAATAAAGTGTCCTGAAATCATTTAAATCAATCTTTTTATTCATCAGAATTTTAATTTTTGTAACAGTTGTTTTTTTTTTTTTTTTTAATTTATAAATGCATTTTCTTACCCAAAAATATTTTTAAATGGAATTAAACATAGAATTTTCTTTTTTAATTTTTTAAAAGAATAATAGATTTCAATTGGTTTGAAAAAAGATTTATTTGATTTTTTTCCATTTAAATTTTTTTTTTTTTTTTTATTTAATTTTTTTTTATTTTTTTAAAAATTGGATTGTTTTCAGTTTTCTTTCAATTAAAAGATTTTTATCCAATTAAAAATTTCTTTTCAGTCTTTATTTATATTTATTTCATTTTAATTTAATTTCTTTCTTTAAAATCTGAATGAAGACATACAATTTCATTTGCTTTTTTTCATAAATTTTAATTTATTTTTTCATTTGTTTCTTGATTTCTTTTCTTTCAATTTATTTTTCATCAATCAATAAATTTTTCAAGTTTTAATTTCTCTTTATTAAAACTATTTTTCTTAATTTATAATACTACTTGATAAAAATTTTTTATATTAAAAATTAAAATATAATCTATTTTGCGTTAAAAAATTTTTTCATTTTTTTCTTAAGTTGAATACAAAAAAAAAAAAAAAAAATAAGGACCATCTTTTCTTTTATTTGAAAATTCTTTTTTTCTTTCTTTTTTTTATTTAGGTTTTTTATTTTTTTGTTTTTTAAATATGAGTTCAATATTATATTCAATTTTTTTTTCCTATCCAAATTTGTTTTCTTTTTTAAATTGTCAATTATTAACAAATTTTTTATGCATTGTCAAAATTTAAAATTTCAGTAAACTTTCTTTTTTTGTTGAATTATGTATTGATATATTTTTTTTGAAAAATTTCAATTTTTTTTTTACATCTTTGATAAATCTATTTTTGATTTTTAAACTTATAATTATTTTTGTTTTTTTTGGAAGAATTCATTTTGAAAATTTTTTTTTCATCGAAAAAAACTATGAAAAATTATTAATTTTCTTTATTCTTTTTTGGAAGCCCATAAATTTCATATTTAAATGCTTTTCATGTTTATTTATATAAATTTTTGTTTTTTTTTCTCTTTAGATTTCTTTTGATCTTTCTTTCTTAAAAATTTTTTATTTATCCTTGAATTAAAATTTCTTGATATTTTTTTTTTTTTTTTTTGGATTTTCAGAAAAAAAATTTTTTCATTGTAAAACATTTTTATTTATTTCGGGGAGAGATGGATTTTTTCTAATTATTTTTTTTTCAATTTTTGAAATGATTTCTCTTTTTTTAAAAATCCTATCAATTGGTTTTATTTTTATTTTATTTTCTTTTTGTTATATTTACATTTTCTTTTCTTTTGAAATTGAATTACATAAAAAAATATTGAATTTTGGAATAAAATTTTTTTGAATTTTCATTTTTTTATTAAAATTTTTTTAAAATTTTCTTTCTTTAAATTCTTTCTTTCATGTTTATTTTTTTTTCTTTTTAAAACGATTTTTTATTTCTTTCTTTTCTAAAAAAATAACTTTCAATTTTTCTAACAAATCTTATCAAGATTCCTAAATGTCTTAATTTTTATAAAAAATTGAAACTTTAATTTTACATCAATATTATTATATATATATATATATATATATATTTAAATATTATAATATATATATTTATTCAGTATTTTTTATATATATATATATATATATATATATATATATATATATATATTTTTTTATGAAAAGATACATCTATGATTTGGCTATTTATTATTTATTTAAATCTTAAATGAATTTTCTTTTAAAAAAATTTCTTTATTTTAAAAAAAAACTTTAAATCAATTTCTTTTTTTAAAAAATTTATACTTATTTATTTTTTTGGGGATTATAACATAAATATGTTATAAAATAAGTTACAAAAATTTTACACAATTTTTATTTTTGTTTCAACATCATCAAAAAAATAAAACAACATTTTAATTGAATTATTATTTTCCCAAGAATATTGTTGTGTAATTTTTTTATCCTTAAAAATGTCAAAAATTATAAATATATCCATATTATATCCCATTATTAGTTTATTGAATGACAAAATCAACCTTTCCTGCACGTCA